TGTATCGTCTCCCGCACTTTTTCTTTTTTCTTTTTCTTAATTTTTCTTTATATATTTTCATGTTTATCTTTTACCTATGTAAAAATCTCTAATAAAAATTATATAAAACATTGTGTTCATCCCTACCACCTTTGACACATATTAAATATTCTGATACCTGTCTCTAAGGAATTCAAAAACAAGGCCGTAGCATGCTTAAAATTGAATCAAAAAACAACTAAAGTGTTAAATAACTAGCTTACATACTGTATGACTGGTTCAATATTATCTAGCATTTAAAAATAAAAGAATGTGGTTTGGCAGACTCTGACAGAGATAGCTTTTAAAAAGGAGCTGTCAGACATAGCAACTCAATAGATTCCAGAATTGTAAAAGCAAACTCTACAATTACTACATACAGGGCAAGAAGACTGAGAATAAATATGCAGGTAGTCCCTGACTTACAACCACAACAGAGACTGGAAAATTCATCATTAAGCGGAGTGGTTGTTAAGCGAGGCATCACATGACTGCACCCAATTTTACATTTTTTGCAGTGGTCATTAAGCGAATCACCGTGGTTTTTAAGTGAATCACGTGGCTGTTAAGAGAATCATGCGGTTGTTAAGTGAATCACGTTGTTCCCCATTGATTTTGCTTGTTGGAAGCCAGCTGGGATAGTCGCAAATGGCAATCACGTGACCCTGGGATGCTGCAACTGTCATAAATACATGCAGGTTGCCAAGCACCTGAATTTTGATCATGTGACCACAGGGATGCTGCAACAGTTGGAAGTGAGGTTGTATGTCACTTTTTTCAGCACTGTCATTACTTCGAACAGTTGCTAAACAAATGGTCGTAAGTCGAGGACTACCTGTATCCTTCATGTCCTGCAGATGAGTTTCAAAGAATAGTTGTCAGCCACTACTACAAATCAACAAACAACCTAAACTAGATTAATCTAACCTCGCTGTTATTCTTATACTCACGTCATCATATATCTTATCAGTTCCTTACAAATTAAGCCATTCATTTCTGAATCCCTTCTTCCTTTCTTCTCAGAAATTCTTGTATAAAACCGCCATTGGCGGAAAGGAGACATAAAGAAGAGTCTACAAATTTATAACTTAGGACAGTGCATTTTAGAAGTAGCATCTGACTTAGCATCTTAGAAATACACAAAAAAAGTATACCCTGTATAGATAAGTTTATCTTATCATATTCCAGACAACTGATATTCTGAGCTAATCCTGTTTGTGGTTAGAATACCAATTCAGCTCTGGCAGTGCATATCATTCTTAATACTTGACAGAAGGCTTGGACTGTCCAACAAAAATACATAAAACAGTTTTAAAGAGTCATGTATGGGGCAAAATCAAGTATTTAAGATTATTTTTGAATGAAATTAAATAAAAATAGGTATTGTTGCTTACTTTTTGAACATGGTGTCACAAGGTGATTTTTTTTTTTTATCCTATTCTGTGTGGTAAACAGTATAATGCTAGTCAGCACGCATATAACAAATCCTCTAGAGAATTTGCCAACTAGTTACAAATACTGTGTAATATGACTAGAGAAAACTTGTTACCAAAAATCAAATTACATTCAAGTGTAATTTTGAGTTCTGCTGGTTTGGATCACTTTACTAAAATTCATAGATTTTTATCCAGCCTTTCAATTTCAAATTAACAATGAAGGCAGCTCACAAATTTAAACATATAAAAATTCAAGAGACATGTAAACCAACAATCTAAAAATCAAAATAATGATTTCACAGCCTTCAATTCTTATATAAAAATTAGATAGACTTCACCTGATCTGCCCAAGTGAGCTAACAGGAGTTTGGCAGGAGAATTCAGCTGAAGAGAGGGAAGAGGCAGAAGTGGGAAGAACCAAGTGGGAGGAAAGACAAGAGTTTGATTGCTGCTGTTATTCCCTGAGCGCTGAGAATTGCCCACTGTCTGTGATCGGAGTTCTGCTTACTATTGACCTAGCTGAGGTAGCTTCTGGATACATGAACTCACTAAGCAACAGAACAGGGAGTGAAAACAGAATTTGGCAGGGAAGTCTGGCAGAGGGGGCATTTGTTTTATTGTGTCTGATCATCAGAGGTATATGGAGACAGAAGAAACTGCTGTTATGACCTGCAGGAGATGTGCCACATTTGTTTTCTTCTCTGATTGCCCTCTTGGAAGGGAAGGAGAAGACTAGAGAGACTGAACTGCCATCCCCACTCCCCAGCTTTGTCAGAGAAAATAGGGAATCCTTGAATCAGATACAGGAAACAGCTGCAGATAGACAGCAGTACAAGAAGCCTCCCAAAAGATACAAGACAGTCAAGCAGAGAGGATGTAGAATGTGAAACAAAAAGCTTGGGCCTGTCAAGAACAGTTCTTATATCCTGTAGCTTCAACTTTTGATGATGTTTCTGGACCCCAATGAAAAGCAGCTACCACAACTCTACAGGACAACTCTACAGGCTCTGCAAAGGGAAAGATTCCACCTCAGTTAGATGAGGAAAATCCTTTGATATGTAGTACAGATTAAATTTTTGGAGCATGTCATGGAAAAAACTGATTTCTTCTGTTTATATTTCTTGGGTTAAAATGTATTGTTTTAGCAATATGGCATTTTTTCTGGTTATTTTATTAATTACAATAAATCTAATATGTCAAACATTAATGAGGTTTCTATGGGAGCATACAAAAATGGAGTTTTGTTTTTTGGTTGGATGCTTAAATATTTAGGAGTAGTTATTCTCAGAAAATAACTATCTCCCCAGTTATCTGAATAAACTAGCAAGTGTTAACACTCATGTGATTTTAAAAGTTAGTATAAGCTAGCTATTTGGGCTTGGGGGCGAGGAAAAAAAATTAATCAGCATATTCACTTATCTGTATCTGTATCTATCTGGATGTTAGTCAATCCTTTATATTCTGTATAAGTTTATCCCCAAGATTTGACTTACAACATACAACATACAAAGCTTTAGAAGGCTACTACTGAGGAAAGATAATTTCAATTAATCACTTATTTTATAGATTTGGATTAAACTTGAGAATTTGCTCTTCCCATGCCCAGTACTACAATCACATTCTTGCTATTACTAAATAAAACTAACAAGAGCAATAAATACATTTCATTTCTAAGTTTCTTAAGTGTACCAGGGCTTCAGCTTGCTATGCTGAAAAGCAAAGCAAACAAATATGTTTCCTACTAAGAGCTTCTGCAAAGAAGTTCCCTTTCATGTGAAGGGAAGTTCCTTCCCTTTCTTATAAAGTTAGTTCCTGAACACTTATTAAGAAAGTATCTGGGCAGAAGACAAAAATTAAAAATTAAAAACCAAACCACTGCCTATAGGACTCAAAACCAACTCTTATCAATAGTAACTTACCCAGTTGGGTTCAAAAACTGATACAGATTTCTTGAAAAATAACCAAAAAATGTACAGTTGCTATAGATGGCTTGAATAAGATTATATTTAAATTCTAATTGGAATGAATTAAGTATTAAAGGATGAAAACAGGAAGACCTAAGATCACCAGAAACTGGGGCAAAGTATTCCATTTGTATTTAGTGTAGCCTTAATTAAACTACATTTTCAAGGTAAATATAACTGTGAGTCAAGCTCAACTCTTGATGACTGAGCTATATAGTTTTCTTGACAATGTAAGGGAAGTGTTTTGCCTCTATCCTCCTCTATGATGATTTTTCCAGGTCCCACTTCAGCCAAGAGCCCTGAAATTCCCAGGGGCTCTGTTTGAGTACTAAGGCTAACCCTGTGTGGCTTCTGAGATCACAGTTGGCTATACAGTGGAACCTCGGGTTACGAACAGGATACGTGGCCATTTTCCCTGCTGACATGCGGTCGCAGCTTCCTGTGGGCGAGATCGCAGTAGCAAGGAGACGTTCAGTGAGGCT